AAGCTGGCAGCAGTGGCAGACAACTGACTACTATTCAATCTATAACAGTGAAAAAAGTTTTTTGTTTTTAAATCCAAGCTATTGTGACACCAGATGTAATTGGTGGCACTGACTGGGGAAATGGGCACTGTGAGCCTGACACAGAAGCTGGCAGCAGTGGCAGACAACTAAGTGCATTTACATTACATAGAAAAAAAAAATCAAAAAAAGCATACCCTTATCCCTAACCTAGCTATGCTTTTCCCTATCTTATGAACAGCAGCTACACTTTCCCTCCTCTTACTAAGCATGCAGCTTGAGAATGAATCTAAAATGGATGCTGTCCAGTAGGTGGGAGGGTCTGCTAGGGAGGCTGTGCTGCTAATTGGCTGGAATGTGTCTGCTGACTGTGAGGTACAGGGTCAAAGTTTACTCAATGATGACGAATAGGGGGCGGGTCGAAAACCGCGCATATGTTCGCCCGCCGTGGCGAACGCGAACATGCTATGTTCGCCAGGAACCGTTCGCCAGCGAACCGTTCGGTACATCACTATAAATGGGGTGCTGCTGGGGACCAATAAGTACAGTAAAAATTAAAATCTCCCTGTCACAGGTGCCTCATCTATTTTTTTTTTTTTTTGACAATTTTATTGGTTCAACGGAATACAGCAGATGCACATCAATTGATTATAATGCTAAATGATTTCAAAATACAACAGCATATGAGTCAAACATGTATCGTCCAACATAAAATCGTGACTCTTTACATACATTAATGTTTCTCTGCAATGAACCAACAATTTTTATGTCTAAGAGAAAGTAGGCAGAAAAGAGGAAGTGTGGAAAAGAAGGCAACGTCAGGCCTAGTAGAGCATAGATGAAAATCGAATTCCAGAGGTACTACTTGATTTTCTCACTGAGGAAGCTGTGTACGTCTCGTCTAGTTTAGTGTAAGACACAATATCTGAAACCCTGTGTTAACATGCGCTCCATGTTTGGCTAGGTTTGTGTGGTCACATCTTTTGAGAGGTGAATGCTTGCAGTGGTGTAGGTATTGAGATATACGTACACAATGTCCCCCCTTCTTTATTACTAATAAATATAACTAATATAACTAACTAATATATTCACTGATATTATCATCAATGAAAGTGACGTTTTTGCATTTTTCACACACAAATGGCACTTACACTGATAATATAATTGTTGTGATACATTTTACGGTTTTGAAACACTAATATTTGTGTTCAGCGAAGTCTGAGCATAACAGTACCCCTCATGTACAGGTTTTATGATGTTTTCAAAAGTTGCAGAGTCAAATATAAGGCTTGAATTTCCGTTTTTTCACATTGAAATTCGCCAGATTGGTTATGTTGCTTTTGAGACCGTATGGTAGCCCAGGAATGACTATTACCCCCATGATGGCATACCATTTGCAAAACTAGGCAATCAAAGGAATTGCAAATGGGGTATGTCCAGTCTTTTTTACTAGCCACTTAGTCACAAACACTGGCCAAAGTTGGCGTTCAAATAATTTTTTTGCATTTTTTACACAAACAAATATTAACGCTAACTTTGGCCAGTGTTTGTGACTAAGTGGCTACTAAAAAAGACTGGAAATACCCCATTTTTAATACATTGGGTTGTATACTATGACAAAGGGTATTCCATCATGGGGGTAATTCTCATTCCTAGGCTACCATAAGGTCTCAAAGGCAACGTAACTAATCTGACCAATTTCAATGTGAAAAAAATTTAAAATGTATTGAGCTATATTTGGCCCTGTAACTTCCCAAAACACCATAAAACCTGTACATAGGGGGTACTGTTTTACACGTGAGACTTTGCTGAATACAAATATGTGTATTTTGTATTGCAGTAAAAGCAAACAGTATTATGACATTCACAGTTAAAACATCATGTAGAACTAAAAAAATAACAAAATGTATTAATTTCTCGCATTTCTTAAATGTTAATATACTTCATATTTGTATATTTTTAATGTGTATAGAAAAAAAGGGGACGATCTGCTAAACAAATAACAAGAACAGTGCATAGCGCATAACTGTGTATATGAATAAACCAAATGTGTAGTTTTCAAATGGCCACTCACACTTTCGTTGAAATATAAATGCCTTGGAACTGAATTGCTCTTTTCAGCAAAAATGCTCTTTTCAGCATAAATGCCCTTCCAGGAATGATTCTTCCACCACTTTTAAACTCTCATGGAATAGTTAAAAGGTGTGTGCTCAAAGAAAAAAACAGAACTTGTAGTACATATTTAAAAATGTAGAAAAAATAATTTAATCACTTACATCTAAATATAAAACAATGGATGTATTCTCACTGTCACCACCAGGGGTCCTACGCGTTTCGTCCGTATGTAGGACTTCCTCAGGGACTTCAGTGACCAGAAATGACAGCATACAAATGAACAATAAACAACCCTTCCCTTCACCACCCTTTATACCTCCCCCAATGTCCACAAAACTCTTTATCCGAATCAGGTGCTTGAAATTTCAGTTCGACGGCCGATATCTATGACGTCATCCACATGCATCCGTCGGTTTCGCATGCGTTCCACCATGCGTTCCACTGCCGAAACCCGGAAGTGCTTTATGCCTTCTATGTATGAATCACGTATTTCTATTCCAAGTCCCTCTCATTAGAGGCAGATTTAATTTACATGGATCGGAGGCAAGAAGAAAGGGGGGGGAGAGGGAAAAGGGAGAATTATACACTTCAAACAGTACTACAAGATTCCAAATATATATAACTAACACAGCCTCATTATACTTGATAACAAAAAACTGTATACACTATATAGTATATATGAATCTAATTAAAATCAAATAAAGATATATAATAGTAAATAAACAGACTAACATAACAAAAAATAACAAAAATAAATACATAATGTAAAAAATATAATGTAATATAAAAAAATAAAATAAAAAATATAAAAAATAAATAAAAATAAATAAAAATGAGAATAAAAATAAAAATAAAAATGAAAAATAAAATAAAAATATAGCACACACACTTATAAGGTGGATAAAATGTGATATCCCAATTTATGTTGCATTTTTTCAAATATTCCAAAAGATATAGAGTATCCATACATTATTATTTTTCTCCTCTTTTTTCCTTTGATGAGATATTGAAAACATCCAGAAAAGGAGATTTATTAATTTTAACGTTATCATTGGATAAAATTAAGAAATTAAATTGAATTATAAAATATAGGATAGAATTCCATAAATGTAAAAAATAGAATTCGATCCATCCCCTGTCCTCTTTTTTCTTTTAGTGGAATGTCAAAGACATCCCACAAAGAGCTGTTGGTTGATTTTAAAGTTGTTCTTGATATAAAAAATAAAATAGATTATATTAAAAAAAATTAAATAAAATTTGATGAATGGAAAAAGTATACTTATGATTGAAATTTAATTGAATTCAAAAAACGTCAAATCTCAGAATGCAGATTAAAAATCTGTAAACACAAATCCGACGCAGTTGGAATCCAACAAATCCCAGTATATATAAATCTGATATAATGAGAATTCATTGAATTTCAGAATATATAAAAGGACAATTTGTCCATCCCAAAACCCATTCAAATTTAATGATACAAAAATATTCTACTATGATATTTATGATGTGGAAAAATTACCTATACTATAAAAAATATATAGAAAAAATGCAACATTTACACTAATGGTGCAAAAAGGTACCTACATAGTATTAATTTTCAAAAAAGCTCCATAGGTCTATATCCAAATTCAACCCATGTGGTTGCAACGTTTTTAATTTGTTTATCCAAAAAGTCTCCCTTTGCGAGAGCTTTTTCATTAAATTGCCCCCTCTCCAATAAGGGTCAACCCGCTCTATACCCATGAAGGAAAAATTATTCCAATTAAATTTTCTGCAACTAGTGAAATGAATCGGTACTATATGTTTTGTTGACTTTTTC